ATTCGAAACTTATTTTCGGAGTGCGAAATTTCGTTTATATTATAAACATTTAAATCCACTAGATAATTCATTATTATTAGCATCATTAGTCACAAATTATGCAACGTAAATTAAATAAATGATACAATTGAAATCGTAAGGGAACTAGCACTGTTTTATGTAGAAAATCAACGATCGATTACGATTAATTGATGTGAAAGCAACAGAGACGCGTTCGTAGTAATAGGATTGATCATAGTAAAAAAAAATACATCCAGAAATGAAGGAAATCGAATGAGTACCACACAAGTGAAAATAACGAGGAAGGAAACGAGATATTTTTCACGTCGAAAACAAGTTATCCGCAGCTTCGCTCCGTGAATTGATGCAAAATCATCAGAAACGCATTTCCAAGGGTGCAACACGGTTCATCATAGTCGCAGAAAAGTATGCGTACGTCCGCTCGGCGGATCGCGTCGCAAATTACATCACGGCGAAGTTACAAGCAGGTACGCGAACGAAGTCTAGGGGGGGAAAAAAAAGAGAATTTTACAGACGATGGATGACGCGTTAGCATGCACGGACAGGGAGCCGTAGCCTCGATTCGATATCCTCGTAGGGAAAAATGTGATCGCTCGCTCGGAAACGAGGCTCGACCTTCACCCCCGCCGCGTCCAATTTGATCCGAAACAGTACGTAAGGTCGTGCACACGATTGATACATCGATCGCCGCGAGGCCGACGAATGCAAACACAACAAAAAATGCGTGCACACAATGTTTCTGCGACTGCGAGCAAGAAAGAGTCGAGCACCGAGCTGAAATCGTCCGAACGCGGACTTCGTTTAATATCGTCGTCACTCATGCGATGAAATATGCTAAATATTTATGCTATGAAACAAACTGTTTTATATTTGTTTGCGGTCGCAATCGAGGTATAACGATTTTTCTGTGAAACAATTTTCTAAGCAATTGTACGAATTAATTTCTATGTATTTGTTATCAGAATCGTATTCTACGATCCGGGAATATTTACAGGATTTTTCTACAAAAAATTAATCCTCTTTTAGGTCATATTCTTCTTCTCGCACTCCATATTAATCCCCTCAGAGGTGGTATTCCCCCTTTGTACAAAAAACTCTAACCTCTTTTGGTGGCCTTGTTCACTTTTATGCAAATTAAATGCGTCCTGTTGCAGGTTATGTTCTTTTATTTGTAATCACTGGACTGCGGATTTTATGCATTTATGGCAAACACGAGTGCCTGTAATTTGAAACAGTAGGATTAGAAACATTTAATAATGTCGATATACTACTTTATATTACCGATTAGTATTATTAAAGAAAGGATAAAACTTGCAAGTTACTCCTGTTTCTTACAACAAATTCGATAAATTTTTATTTTGCATGAAGGTGGACAGTTTAGTAATCATTTGTAATAAAATTCATTTTGAGTATTTAATAACAGTTTATAAACAATTATTGGAGATTATTCGATGTTAATATAAGATATTTGATATTAATTATTTTGTAAATTGACGAATAATAGGAAACTATGATCTATAAAAGAATTAATTTGGAGTGCGAAAAGGTAAACATGATCTACGAAAAGATTAATTTGTTTAACGATGAAATAATATAATATATAATAATAATAATAATAATAATAATAATAATAATAATAATAATAACAATAATAATAATAATATAATATAATAATAATAATATATATATAATAAATGATTAAATAATAAAAGCCTGTATTGTTTTTACTTCTGCCATTAACTTTATTTTCGGTCATTTATAATAGAACGTTATATTTCAACGCGAGTATAAATCCTATATTCCACAGAGCTCAATATTTTAATAATAATTGAATTTAAAAAGAATTCGCGCGTCACCTTGACACGATCCGCGTGCGGTCCGGTATGTATTTTATTAAATTTTTATTGTTTTCGAAACGGCCGGCCCGGAGAAATTGGAGTCTGCGGCTCGAGACGCTGTGCGGCTGCGAGAGGCTGTGATTTAATCAACTTCATCGTGTTCCATCGTGTTTAATAACGCCGGAAACTTTACTAGGACGATAGTAATTTGCAATAAACGTATTTTTATTAGCCATCCGACAAAACCAATTAACAACGGATGAAATTTAATTTCGATGTAACGAAGAACCGGAATGTCCCGCGTAAAGTTTCTGATTTTGATCTGTCGTAAACGTCTTTTATCGTCGAGTTAACCGAGCGTTGTTGATTGCTAAGTAAATTTATTTTTCTTCGTTGCTTTTCATTTTCTTGAAGAATTTTTATCGGCTACAATGAAAACGATATTTTTTAATAAACGAATCTCCGATAGAAAGATTAAAATGGTGTCACAAATTGTAAGTATAGATCGCAGATTTTTATTGAAAATGCAT